GATGTTTGAGGAGTTTCACACAAACTGAGACGCAGTGACCGGTGACCTCTGACCTCACGCTGAGCCTGATGAAGGTCAGTTCACACACACAGTCCAGTGAAGGTGTTTATGTGATAAGTGAGTAAGACCTGCTGTATCTGTGGTGCTCTGCTGAAGCGTGATGTGTTCAGTCCTCTCTCACTGATGTTATGTATGTACTTGTGTCAGATAGATCTGCTCGGAAAGAATCTGATAAGTTTTTCTGTCACTGGTCATCAGACGTGTACATCAGCACCTTCAGAGTGTGTGTGTGGGTGTGTGTGTGTGAGAGAGTGTGAGAGTGTGTGTGTGTGGGTGTGTGTGTGTGTGTGAGAGAGTGTGTGTGTGTGTGTGTGAGAGTGTGAGTGAGTGTGTGTGTAAAAAAAAAAAAGGGAAAAATAAAATCTACAAACTAACTAAAAAAAAATAATTATTTCAGAACAGATTCAAGATTTATATATTTTTTAAGTTTAACCAGACAGCTTAAAAACCAGAACACGATTCAGGTAAAGTTCAGGTAAAGCATACATGAAGTTCAGCATGGTGTAAACATAAAATTAAATAGTCCTAAGGAAAGCTCATTGTGGGACTGGCTCGTAGTGGCTGAAATTCTGCACCAAGGCTGAATTTCGGGAAAGAGACTTCAGATACAGTACTAGGGACCACTTAGGCCTATATAAAAGCATCCAAAAAGCAGCATGTCATGGGACCTTTAAAAACCAGAACACGATTCAGGTAAAGTTCAGGTAAAGCATACATGAAGTTCAGCATGGTGTAAACATAAAACAAATTAAATAGCAGAAAATATGTGTGAAATATGAAGGCAAATATTGTAACATATCAGTATTGTAATTAAACATATACTGTATGTTCAAAAATAACTTGAATTTAGAAAAATGCTAAATATTTTTAGCCAGAATGTAGACATTTAATTTTAGAGATTAACTCAAAAAGTCAAGATGGTTCAATCACAAAATGACTGACAGTATAACCGCAGACATTACCCAAAAATAAGAATGTCATGCACTCACATCTATAGCACTGGTGGATTGGCAACATGTCTGACTGTAATGTTTGATAATGTTTTTATTCAAAACCATAATTTACTATTCAAAGAAAAAAATAAAATTGTGGCAAATAATACGCACTCACAGAGACACATACACACACAAATATATGAAAGCTCACATGAAAGTGACATTACAGCAAAATCACACACACACACGAATGGAGAACGTGACATCTCACACACACACACACACACACACACACACACACACAGACAAAGTGACATCATGACACACAGAGTCATTAATGAACACAGGAAAACAGGACAGAACCCTAGGAACACACACTCGTTCTCACTGGAAGTATTTTTACACAAAACAGGATGTGGATGTCAAGGTCAGAAGCCACACACACACACACACACACACACAGATCATCTGCTGTGTTTTAATGGGACGGTGACGTCCACAGTAATCACAATCCCATCCCAGCAGTCTTCACTACAAGTATAGGCTACTTCATTTTCTGCATTCTAAGTACACTACGCTGACTGTGAGCATGGATGCACACTATCTAGTAGACATTTCTTTTTAAGCGCTCAAATCATTCTCACATATAAAGCGGGCTGTATGTGGACGGTGAGCGGGACTCATGATGAACACTGCGTCACACAGACGACCGGGAGATGAACACAGATGAGGGAAGTGAACATCCAGCTCCAGCCCTGTGGCTGTTTAAAGGTCCCATGGCATGAAAATTTCACTTTATGAGGTTTTTTAACATTAATATGAAAGAGACTTCAGATACAGTACTAGGGACCACTTAGGCCTATATAAAAGCATCCAAAAAGCAGCATGTCATGGGACCTTTAAGGTATTTGAGTAACAGGAAATGCATAACACACACTCACACACACACACATTCTCACACACACACACACACACACACTCACACAGAGACACACAGACAGCTGTGACTCCATGAGGAGGGTTCATTCAGGAGAAAGCCTCACTGCCTTCCCATAATCCCCTGCATCTGGCAGAGGTCGAGCAATATGTCGCCCACATAAAGACATGAAATATTCCTCACAACACAAATAAAGCAAATCCAAGCACACATGTAGGACAGCATATGCTAAAATGTGCAATAAGACTCTTACAGCCCCCAGATCACACACAAAACTATTGTTACATCACTTCCTGTAAGGGCTTCTGGGAATTTCATAGAATTTCAGAGCTTTACTGGAGCAACTTTTATCCTCGTAAGCTCCAGAAAACACACAGAATTAAATCAGAGCAGCAGAAACAAACAAGCACAAGAGGAATGCAGTGTGTGTGTGTGTATGTGTGTGTGTGTGTGTGTGGACACTGTATGACAGAACCAAACACACACAAGCCCCTGACCTCTGACCGATCACTGACTCAAACACAACAGATTACCCACAACACACTGCTGCAGATCAGGAAGCAACAGCAGAATATCTCACAGCCCTCCATCAGCTGAGTGGGTTTATGAACAAACATGACCAACTAACTACAAACACATCAGCGGCCAGGAGACATTCTCCAGTCTGCTTTGGTTCATTTGAATAATTAACAGATAAACTGATCACAGCTGACCTTCATCGGCCGGAGTCATCGTCACAGACACCAGATGAAGAACTCCTCCATCATGAGCATCTGCAACAGCTGTCACACTCATCTCTCTCTCATCCCTCACAACAACAACACTGAAGAGCAGAGATGAAGATGCTGAGGATGAGGATCTCTCTCACACACACACACACACACACGATCTTCATCACACAACAACACTGCTGTCAATCTACTCGTCACGTCAAAAGAAGTGAAATCAAGCGACAAGAAGCTTCAGTGTGTGTGCTTGAGAGAGAGTTTTTAATGTGTGTGTGAGTGATTGATTGAGTGAGTGTGATTGTGTGTGTGTGTTATTTCATCACTCAGTGAGTCTGTAACGTTAGTTCTGTTCTCACCATGAAGTCCGAGCTGAAGTTATCTTCTCCTTTCTGCTCGCCGCTTCTCAGGGCTTCAATGAATCTCTTCAGGATATTCACCTGCTCCATCCTGACGGGACGTTTCATTCATCCACGAAGCAAAAGAATAAATAAATATAAATATGTCCTGGAAAAGAGTCTTTTGAGCGATTACTCCAACATTTTATGACCCCATGATCCTCTCCGTCCCCGCGACGAAACGGCACAAAGAGCGCGGACAGGAGCGTCGCGCGTCGCGCTGAGGAGCCGATATATATTCTCCGTTATAAATCACTTTTAACTTCTGTCAGAAATCACTTTTAATAATGAAATAAACAGCGCGCCCCTCCCTGCGGCTGCCACATTCACACTGCACACAAGCGGACCGCCCAAACGCCGCTGCCGCGCTCCCGCCCCCCGCCGCTCCGCTGCCTGTGATTGGACAGAGACGGAGACTTCTGCAGCGGTGATTGGGCGAATCCTCACTTCAATCAAAGACGCGCTCCGATTCCGTGTTTCTGACTGTCAGGTCTGACTGTCAATCATTGCGTCCTACGAGCTCATCTCTGATTGGCTGAATATGCTCCCGCCCACTTCCCTGATCCAGGTTAGACCCGCCTCTTCCGCGCTGACATACGGGGTATTTAACAGCGTCGCCGTCATTCTCAGCATTGTCTCAGACTCATGTGTGAGTATTGTTCATGTTGAGTGTAATTAATTTCCCTTGTTTTACAGTGACTACAGAGTTTATTACAGCCGTGTCATGGATGTTCTCACAAGCACTCTTTAGTCAGAAAGTTTAGATTATCATGCATCGTGATATTACACTATATTTATGAAGCAGTATTTCTGACAGTTATTGTCATATTAATATTTGGGGTTTTGTTTTTACTGCTATATTTCTTATGGTTTCCACTCTGTACCATCATGCAACATATCAGTTGTAGTTGTTATGCATTTTTTATTGTAACTAATAGTAAATGAACCATTTTTTTTGCTTTGTTTGAATATTGTACAATGTGTTTAATCAGACTTGTTTTTTCAGTGCACAGTGATGATGAATACAATGGAAGAGCTGCTGGGTGGGCCATTTCACTGTTTCACAAATATAGCTTCAAGACTTGATAATTTATAAAGATCATGTGTAAACCTGAGACTAGAGTGATAAAATCACTGACTAATGTATGACACACAGAAAGGATGTGACGTAACTATCCGCAGAAGTAAAGTTGCTGGTAATATGAAGCAAACTCAGCCACAGGGTTTCATCAGTAACTAACCCGTCCTCCGCCCAGAACAGCTCTTGCTTTATTTGCTGTAAACACGATTTCTGCTCGATATCCACAGACGGACAGCACTCATTCTACAGCAGGAGAAACCCAGTCCTCCATCTGTCCGTCTGTCTCTCACACACTTCAGTCGTGTGTGTGTGTGTGTGATGCTGTTGGCTCTGCTGTTTCTGTAGAGATGAGAAGAGAAAGAATCTGAGCAGCTGAGTTCAGGAATGTTCTTCAACAAGCCCTGACGTGACTCTGCAGCCGATCGCATAGCTTCCCACTTCTGCCAAACACACACGCACACTAACACAAACACACACACACTCACACACACACGCACACTAACACAAACACACACACACTCACACACACACACACTCACTATAACAAACATAAGATCAAAACACACGCATAAAATCACATACTATTGAAACTCAAATGTACAAAATTCATTTAGGAGTCAAATTTCTCTTTAAAAAAAAAAAAAAAAAAAGAGAAGGAACAGAAACTCTCTGTAGAAACACTGAAGAGTGTTCACGTACAAACGTCTTCATACAGCTGGCCAAAATGTGTGAGTGTGTGTGTTTAGTGTGTGAGTGTGTGTATGTCAGTCTGTGTATGTAGTGTGTGTGTGTGTGTGTGTGAGAGTGTGTGTGTCTGTCTGAGTGTGTGTGAGAGTGTGTGTGTCTGTCTGAGTGTGTGAGAGAGTGTGTGTGTGTGTGTGAGAGAGTGTGTGTGTGTTTAGTGTGTGTGTGTTTGTCAGTCTGTGTATGTAGTGAGAGAGTGTGTGTGTGTGTTTAGTGTGTGCTCTGGGGCAGGATGTTGTATCCCAGCTGGATCAGGGCTCCGGTCAGCAGCGTCCAGAGCGGCACACAGATGATCAGCAGCCGCAGGTTGGTCAGCTGCTCCAGCCGTGCGCACAGAGTCACACAGAAGCCCACCTTCATCATCAGAGCCAGCAGATACCAGAGCTTCAGCCGCGGGTCGAGCCCACCCCGGCAGCGGCCCGCCAGCCTCACACCCAGCATCAGCAGCAGAGCGCCGTCAAACACCCAGACGGGCAGGAAGACCAGGAACCAGCTCCAGCGGACCTTTCCATCCAGCTTAAGCACCAGCAGGACGAGGAAGAGGAGCGAGAAGATCCAGGTGAGCAGAACCCGCTGGGCCAGAGACATCTGCACCGACTGACCACACAAACAGACCAGGTCAGTCACCAGCAGTGAAAAACACCATCACCATCATCATCATCATCATCAGCAGCAGCAGCATCATCGTCATCATCATAATCACCGCGGATCTTCATCATCACGCGCGTGACGTCACTCACCGCACAGTCCCGCCGAAGCCAGCAGGATCATCCGTGAACTCTCATCAGAACCGTGATTAAACGACCCTCATCGCAATCACAACAGAGTGAATCGTTCTTTGGCTTTGTTGGGACGCGCGCTGTTGTCTGCAGCTGTCAATCACACCGGGATTCTGTTTCCGGGTTCAGCAGCGTGTCCCGGATGTGTGGAATATCGGCGTCCATAGAAACACCGATCAGCTGACCATCGTTTCAGGAGTTGTGTAACGTTTTTGTCATCGGTTATTTCAGCTGGACAGGCGTTCTTGTCCCATTATGAGACGCTAAAGAACGCGATTAGGCGCGCTGAAGCGCTGCGGTCATGTGACCTGCAGAGGGCGCCATTACTCGACCGTTATTCACGCCTGCGCGCGCCTCCGCATCTGCGGCACACATCCCTCACGAGTCTCGCGTTTAACGGTATTAACGGTGGTTAGGACGGTTTTCGCGCGGTTAACGGTCGTTATTATTCAGCGTGAATGTGAAGATCGCGTGACTCGGCTGCGCGTTTATTCCGTGCTTGCCGGTAACGCGGATCTTACAGCTGCGGGCGATTCTTCTTCAGTAACCGCTTCGAGAGACCGCGACACTGAACCCAACAGCGATCTTCTTCATCAGCAGCAGCATCTTCATCACCTCAATCTTCCGTCGGTAAGAGATGAAGATCTGTAACTTACATGAACGATCAGCACACACACACAATAACACACGATACAGTCACACACACACACAATAACACACGATACAGTCACACACACACACAATAACACAATACAGTCACACACACACACACACACACACACACACAATAACACGATAAAGTCACACACACACACCACAATAACAGACGATACAGTCACACACACACACGATACACACAATAACACACGATACAGTCACACAGACACACAATAACACACGATACAGTCACTCACACACACACACACACACAATAACACATGATACAGTCACACACACACACACAATAACACACGATACAGTCTCACTCACACACACAATAACACACAATACAGTCAGTTAGACTCTCTCTCTCTCTCTCTCTCAATTTCAATTTAAGAGTGCTTTATTGGCATGACAAAAATTATACATTTGTATTGCCAAAGCAATTGCAGCTGGACTGCTTACAAATAGTGCACATACAGGTGCATCTCAATAAATTAGAATGTCGTGGAAAAGTTCATTTATTTCAGTAATTCACAATTAAAAGAACCAAAGACTTAAACTACTTCAGTCTGTGTGCATTGAATTTATTTAATACACGAGTTTCACAATTTGAGTTGAATTACTGAAATGAATGAACTTTTCCACGACATTCTAATTTATTGAGATGCACCTGTATGTATTAACAGAAAGAAAAATAATAGTAATAATAATAATAATATATAAAAAGTATTAAGCATGTAGTGCAAAATGAATTACTAATGTAAGTATATAAACTAGAAATAAAAATAAAATAAGGGAAATCTCTCTCTCTCTCTCACACACTGTTATTTATAAACGGATGGTAACACGCTCAGGTTCCACACAGATACACACTTGTGTTTCTGTACTTAAGTATAAAGCCCTTTCACTCAATCAGCAGCAGATCACACGCACCTGATGCTGATCTGCAATCATTGCTTTTGTTGATCTGATCAGACAAACAGCCTAAAATCCCACCGCTGTCATGAACAGACCAGTTATAACACAAAACATTCAGTTCTTCAGTGGACCTGTGTCCAGATGTGTGTGAGCGGCCCGGGACTGAATGTGTGTGTGTTTGGGTTTGATGAGGAGCATCTACACACACACACACACACACACACACCTTCAGTGAGTCAGTTAGTGAGAGGCCTGACTGATTGTATGAAAACACACACAGTATAGTCTGTGATACACATGATGTCCGTAGTTCAGTGTTTGTTCTCTTGTATGCAAACACACATTTGATTCTCCTCTCTCTCTCTCTCTCTCTCCGCAGCTGTGTGTCAGCTCTGACCTTGAGTCGGTGTTGTGTTCTCGCTCGTGTCGGTCGCTCGGCCTGCAGCAGCGCTCCATCAGATTCTCCGTAAGTTCTTCAAAGTGAAGTGTTTCTTTTGTCAAATAATTTTTTTATTCAGTTTGAGTGAAGCGTTTCTGAAACGTTCTCTTACACCTGTGTGTGATGGACTGAAATATGAGTGCGAATGTGTCTGGACTGAATCGAGTGTGTGTGTGTGTGTGTGTGTGTCTGTTTTTAACCCTGAGCTCTGTGAGTGTCTGGAGCGTCAAGCACTGCGGCTTCTGCAGGTTATTTTAAGTTGTTTGTTCCATGAATAGCTTCACGTCTATCCAGAGATCAAAGAGTTTCCTCACAGCACTCTTCATCTCATCCATCTGTTCACTCGTGTGTTTCATAGACGCATCTGAACGAGTCCTGACTTCATCTTCTCTGAGTGACGGGTTCGTTTAGCCAGATGGGTTAAGAATAATCTCTCACTGAAAGATTCTGTGGCTCTATGTGTGTGTGTGTGTGTTTGTGTAGTTGTGAGTCTTTGTGTTTTGAGTTGAGTTTTTGCATGAGGCTTAAGAGACAGTATAAATGCAACCGTTTCCTCTTACAGACGCATGCAGGAAGACGCGCTGCTTTATTTAGCCTGTGAAGAACACACACACACACACGCTGCAGTGTGACCTCCAGAGACACACACACAGTATCAGATGTGACACACACTGCTGTCCATCTCCTTCATGAAACATGCACAGCCATGTGTTGGGTTACACCTCAGCAGATGGACGTGTGTGTGTGTGTGTTTATTTCCTGCTGGTTTTGTCTAGAATGGTTTTATTTATTGTTGCGTAACGAAGTGCCGCTGCTGCTGTAAAAGCGTCTGTTAATGACAGCATGACAGGATCTGACTCTGAATCACATTGATCTGTGTGTCTTTGAGTCGACTGATCGCCTTCATTGATCCAGGATTGATAGTTGGCAGTTTTCAGTAGATGAATCCTAAATCAGGAAGCTGTTGATGATGTTTGTGTTGGCTGGCAGGAGCACAAATCACATATAAATGAAAGTGTTTAGTGAGCGCAGGACCGGTCTGTCCACTCTTCAGTGTGCACTAGTGAGGGCGTGTGTCTCGCGTCCCTTCAGGCTGTTTCATGTTCCCGTTCTGCTGCTGCCTGCTTTGTGCTAAATTTGCTGTTGATGACGTGGACAGGTAAAAAAAAGCTCATCTATGTGTGTGTGTGTGTGTGTGTGTGTATCACATTAATGCAGTGATTGAACAAACTCCCAGAATGCTCAGCGTTCACTCCATGATGTATTACAACATGAGAGAAAGAGAGAGAGACACTTTAAGATTATATCTCTTAATATCTCTCTCTCACTCACACGCACAGTCTCTCTGATTGGCATTCAGTTGGTGCATTCAAAGTGTATATATGTGTGTGAGGCTTTTCTCTCCACCCTCTTCTTGAACAAGTTCTATAATCAGACTGAAAGTGCCTGTCATCATCAGGTGTGTGTGTGTGTGTGTGTGTGTGTCTGTGTCAGAGCGCTAACCACCTAGTTTCACACCCGTAATTCACAGATGAAGCTAATCTAGTATTATGTCGGCTGTGTGTGAGTGTGTGTGTGTGTGTGTACTCGTTGAGCTATATTTGTGAGGGTAAAATGTCTTCACTTACACAGTGAAATATCATGACAACAAACTAGTTGAAAAGGCTCATGATATCAGTCCAATCATGTTTCTGTGCAAATGTAGTGTTTTACATGGGTTTCTTTGAGGGTTTGTTCAGGAGTCGGTCAGGAGATAAATAGAGAAAATATCAAACCTGAGAGAAAAACAATGGAAGTCTATGAGATGAACTCACTAGTACAGTCAAACAAACGTACGTGTGTGTGTGTGTGTGTGAGAGAGTGAGTGAGAATGACAAAGGTATGTCATAGGTATTACAAGGAGAAGGTGACTTTTCAGGACATTATCCCATGTCCCCACTTTTCAAAACGCATGTAAATCACACAGAATGGAGTGTATTGAAAATCTGAAATAGCACAAAGTTTCCGGTGAGGGGTAGGTTTAGGGGTAGGGTTGGTGTAGGGCAATAGAATATACGGTCTGTACAGTAGAAAAACCATTACGCCTATGGGATGTCCCCACTTTTCACAAAAACAAACCTGTGTGTGTGAGGTCAGTCTGTTCCTAGCGCTCATGAATCAGACAGATAGTAGATGAGTTCCTGTATCTTAAACAGTAGATCATGGCATTAGAAACAGCGATGTCATGAACACTTCAGTGTTTGTATGAACTGATGACATGTTAAAGGCTGGAATAAACTACACGACTTTTAAAATCTCAACAGATCTTAAAACACTAGGCATGATAAACTTACCGACTTTGTAAACGGTCACAGAGGAGAAACACTAAACTACTAGGAGACACGTGACAAATAAAACAACGTGTTCTAAGATCTCCTCTGACTGGATTAAATCGAGAGTCTGAAGCTGAAAAGTCTGTGACCATCAGACACTAATTTATGAAATCTGTCAACTCCAATCTCTGGCTCTGACTTTCAGCAACTAGCGTCCGCTTCTGCAGACTGTAAATCAGGGGAGTTGTGAAGTTGTGCAGTGTTTCCAGCCATTTCATTCACTTCAGATAAAACATGTAACTGTGTAGTTTTTCCTCCTCTCTCATTGTTTGTTGTTAGTGTTGATCTCTATGACAATATTGTGTGCAGAACAATCATGCCAACTATGTGTGTGACTGCACTTCTGTGTGTGTGTGTGTGTGAGAGAGAGTGTGTGTGTGTGTGTGTGTGTGTGAGAAACAAAACAAAAAAACACTTTGCACAACAGTTCAACATGTAAGAAATTACACACATACACTCTCTCTCTCTCACACACACACACACACACACACACA